TCTCTCTCACACACACACACAGTGCAGGAAACATCATTTAATTTCAGCGGAAATATGAAAATAAAGGAAGTTTTTGTTGTGGTTAGAGAACACCCACATCAGCTTTAGGCCTCACCAAGATTTGGCAGATGGTTTGGGGAAATTTCCTATTTGGCTTTCTGGAACAAACAGAAGATTCTCCAAAAGTTAACTTCTAATCCACGAACAAAACAGGTTAGAGTGCAGCACGTGTGCTCTCTTCCTGAAGTGTGCAGGGGAAGGACACACATTTCCATCCTCTTGACTAATGGGTTTGTTTTCTCATTTCTCTTTCTAACCACAACCTCTTTAATACACCAGGACCACATTAGGCCCTCTATATTTCTTTCTGTATTTTACCCCCACCTCATTTTCACTCCTCTATCTAGACCACAACCCCTTTATGTTCCTCCTTTCCTCTGTGTGTGTGTGTGTTTTGTATAGCAGCAGTGTTGTTTTGAATCGAAGGGTCATTCCAGGTTGATCTCTTTCTTTGTCCAACTACTTCACTGTGTTTCACATGTGTGTACTTGTGACTGTTCTTGGTTTAAGTGGAATATTACTACATAACTGAAATGCATCACAGATGAAGACAATTGTGAAAAACATCTGGATTCAGCCAGTCAAACAGCTGGACAGAATCTAGAGTGTGAGTGTGTGTGTGTGTGTGTGTGTGTGTGTGTCCACCTACGTACAACTCCTCTTCCCTTCTGTTGTAATGTTGCAACATTGTGCAGATATAAGCTGTGGCCAAAGGCATAATAAGAGGAATAAGAATGAGTTCTGGGAAACCAGGGGACAGAGAGAAGTGGTGTAGGGCAGGTTTGGGATAACCACATCTAATGTTCTACAGATGAAAGCTCAAGTTCCAGCTCTGGCTCAGGTTAAACGAGCAACACACTGAGTAAATCTCTGGTTTAAATCAGTTAGATTCTGTTTCTTTTACCCAGAAATTGACAGTAAGGAAGATAAAGTGAAGGAAGAGAAGGGGGAGGAAAAGGAGCTGCTATAAAGCCTGCAGAATCAATGTATGATCTCATTCTCATGCTCCATGAAACTTAATATCATATAAATATCCTGGAATGTCTGCTAAAGAGTTATGCAGACTGTGTGTGTGTGTGAGAGTGTGTGTGTTAAAGAGAGCGGGTCCAGGTTGTATCCTTGGTGACAGTGTGTTTTGTTCCGACAGCAACAGTTGACTTCCATCTCTACGTAAACAGAAGTAGTGCCAGCGGTTTCACTTTTATATCACTAGCTCTCTTATCATTCAGTGATTAATGAGACTATTTAATATGATGAAAGGATATGTATTAGCTGCAAAAGTGGAATGTAAAGTAATTTATATCTATATGATCTGAAGTGTAAAATGTCAGTATTCTATCAGTATTTCTGAATGCACTGTGATACTGCAGTGTAAATACTGATTGAAGTACCAAATCTGCAAACCAGCACAACTGTATGCCACTGCAGAAACAATGTTCAGCCAGTTATTCTTGTTATGTGAGAAGATCTGATGAGGTGATAATAGAGTGATGTATACTTAGCTAAAGGACATGGCAGACATGACTCTTGGATCCTGACCATTCACAACTTGTCATCTTCATTGATTTCACCATCTGCCACAGCAGGAAACTGGAGCTCCACCTGCTCCGGAGGAACAGCAGCCATTTTTATGTTTTGGGTCATAAAACAATTTCTTATGAAATCCAATCTGGTGGAGTGCAGAAGCTGATGGCGAGACTTTAAATTCTGGTGTCGGATTTGCTTACAGTTTGTACACCGTTGTTTTTCCTGATGTTGTTATGTGGCAACTTTCACATAGTGGTGCAGAACAACAAGCAGCAATATAAAAAAATTCCACTGCTAGATCAGTTGAAACAGAAACTTTTCCACCGCCAACAGTTTCCACTTTTGACTACCCTCAACAGACAGCTGGCAGCGCGACCTGTTTCCTGTAGTGGGACTGAAATGGACAGAGAGGTCGGGAGTGATGCTGCGTCCGCCATTCACTCCGCTACCACATTTCCGTGGAAACTGTGGATGGCAGGTACATATCCTGTTTCTGTTGTGACCTGGTTGCTGCCTGGCACATGACCTCTCACATACACACAAACACTCACATTCACACTCACAGTATGTGTGCCAAAACACACGCGCTGTACCAGGTATTGTGTACCTGTGTGATGAGCTGATCCTGAGTGACTGTGTTGATCCAGCGAGTGTAACGCTCGGTAGATCCCTCGGGAACCCTCTGAACTTTACAGCCAATCAGCTTTCATGAAAGCACACAGACACATACACCATATGAGCCTAAACATATTTTCCTTTCAGCAGCCATTGAAAATATTTTCAGAAATTCTCGAAACATGCTACCACAGAAGTAACTAGTACATCTGGTTTAATGGGTCAGTGTTAGGCTTAGAATAAAGGTATATGAAAGCTTAAAACACATCAATGTTTAAATTCTGCTGAGACTGAACGAAGCTGAAATCAGTTGACCAATCAATTAGTTGACTGACAGAAAAATAACATGCAACAATTTTGATAATCAATTCATTGTTTAAATAATTTTTAAAGCAAAAATACCAAAATGCACTGTTTCCAGCTTCTCAGATCCCTTTTGGCTCTGGTAACTTGCAAAGGGAATTTTATAGACTAAACAATTCATATTTCATTCATCAAGAAAATACTTGGCAGAATAAGCAAATATGAAAACAACTGTTAGTTACAAGCCCCAGTTATATATAGCAGTTTTCAATATTTTTGACACGCACACGCCAAATCTCAGGAAAGAGGCCAATGAGAAGTAGATAGGGGCTTACATACAGAGTAGAGATGTTATACAGAACTGAAAAGGAGGACAGAGGACCACATTTTATCCAGCAGCATAAAATAGTACAGCCACAACAGAAAGAAGTAGGTTGTTTGTGCAGGGCAGCAAGCCTGCTGTCTCCATGCTGTCTCCCTCACTTCCCTCACACACACAACCTTTAACCTCTGACCTGGCAGGCCACAGAAAGCATCAACACCGGATACTCACACTGTTCTGCATGCCAACAGCATAGAAGCACACACAGAATCAACATGAATATTTTTGATTTTTTTTTTTAAGGGAAGGATTGGTCAGATGGTTAGAGAGAGAGGGAAGGGGAAGGGGGGGCGAGGGGGACGGAGAGAAAAGAGAAAGGGTGAGGAAGGGCGAAGGCAGAGTGCAGCGGAGAGGGAAGGAAGTGAGTAAGCAAATACTTGAGGGAGAACTTACAGAGTTTGGGTGGAGGAGAGACTCCTCATACTGCAGACCAACTCTTTCAGGCAACATAACGTCATCCTGGAGTTAAAAAAGAATAATTCAAACCTGTATGACTTGTTACTTATATAGTATACTTATACTCTTCAACTCATACCATACAAAGTTAGTAAAAAAAACACTGTGGGAAGAAAGAATGCAGATGTAGACGGAAGACACAAGAGTAATTAAATGGAGAGATAAACGTTTCATTTTAAGTTTTAGAGAAAGAGGCGCACCAGGATGTGAATAGTGTCGAGCAGTAGATCAGAAGCAAATGCACAAATACAATTAGGTGACTGTCTGTGAAAGCAAACTAAATGAATAATAATAGTCTTTCATTCTGGCAACAGTCAATTAGCAGATAAACCCAATTTTCACTAAAAAAAACTATTAAAGTCATGATGGTGGTGTGATATTTGTTGGCTTCTGCAATTTTTCCATCATATTTCGATTACTTGTGCAGCTTTACTGTATGACTCAAAAAAATATAAACCTGACCATAGTTCACAAATTTAGATATTGTGGCCTTTGATTTGTGGATTTGACAATTCAGCCTGCAGTAATGCGACTACAAAGCACAAAGCTGCCATTCATTTGAACAACATAAAACGCACATATATCAACCACTGTTCTCAGCTCATTAGTCATGTGCTCTGACGGGTCTGTCAAACAGTCACTGAGCTGCTGAGGTCTGCGTGTGAATGTGTCTACAGCCTGTATATTTGGACAAACCAATTTGATCTAATTAGTTTTGACTCACTACTGTATGCAAGACATCTGGACACACACACAGCCCCCGACACACACACACACACACACACACTTACCGCATCCTGAAAGCACAAGTATTGTCCACAACTCTGAGATATTGCTTTATTCTTTGCATATCCAACTGAAAGACAAAATAACAGTGTATGTGTATGTTTATATTTGTGCGTGTGTGTTCTTGCATTTGTATATACATCTGCCAGCTAACCATTTGGCCATGTGTTAGTAATTATCATATTCAAACAGTAAACATGTGACAACAACAAAAATAAAAGGGAGTCATTTTCAAAATGTTAAACCAAGAAATGAAACAATAAAAGGCAATGTCAGTCTCATATGCACGAGATAGATAGTCCACCACAGCTGCTTTATTTTTGTGAAACGTGATTGTTCCCTAGTTAATTAGAATAATATAAACACTAAAAACAAAGCTTCTTAATATTGTGCACCTTTTTATTGTAAATAACCAGTTTTTGATCTGATTCTGAGACAGTGAGGTAGATGAATTGAACAGGAAGGCAGTTTCAGCCCTGACAGTGTTGTTGAAAGATCTGAGGTTGGGTGCAGGTAGATATGGGCACAAACACTCTGAAAGTAATGAGTAAAACCAAAAAGATCATCTGGAAACCAATGCAAATATGTCACATACATATATGTTTCATACTTTAATGGATTACACACTGAAGTATGAGCCTTTCAGTCAATATAATCTTAACTAAAAGGTCCAGTTTCTAACTTTTTCTTGATCAACAACCTAAAGGTCTACTGACCTCCTTGGGGTTGTGCAGAGTTGTGGCCGGAGATCACCACTGACATGCCCCTCGCCTCCAGCCTCTCCCTCCAGCCCTGCACCACCTTCCTCGAGTCATCCTGAAGAACACACACACGCACAGGATTTTAACTTCAACTGAGACAAACTACACACTCACATGTGTAAATATGCAAACAAACAAACAGACTCACGGTGCTTGCATCATCAAAGACCGAGAGCTCCATGGTTCCAGTGAAGTCTTGGTGTAATATGGCCTGCAGACATTCATCCAGCCAACAGGATGCGTTGTACACTGGCATGATAATACTCTGAGCACAGAAAACACACACCGAAAGTTCAGAACTGATAATGCATGAACAAGCAGCCCTATGGGGATAACAATAATATACACAAGCAGTAAAACAGATGAAGTGACAATCTGTTTACATTAGCACTCATGTTCATCTGATACACAACTTCAATTCAACATAACAAGTCCTAATTTCACACATTTAGACCTCAAGTTCCATATCCAAAACACACACCACATCCACTGCAGTCCTCTCCTCCTCCTCCTCCTCCTCCTCCTGCCATCCTTCCTTTCTTTCATTTTCTGTAGTGCGGAGCCGCTTCGCTGGGTTCATGTCCACCTCTCAGCCTCCGTCCTTCCGCTACTTATCTGCGCACCCAGTCCGCCGTTAACCGCCGTCTGTCCTCGGTTCAGTCGTTAAATGTGTTACGGTGTCTGAAAGCAGATGAACCGTCTGAACGCCTACAAAGAGCCGGTGACCCCGCGTGCTACACGTGAATACAGACGTCAGTAAAAACTCAGTTTTTTTATATGTTCTCTATGTGAAATAGATCCACGTCAACAAAGGGCATCTGTTGAAATGTGTTGTGTACATTTTAGTGACGGTAAAATGAACCATTTAGGCAGAACGCGAGGTCAAAACTCGCTGCGTAGTTTACCGCTTCACGACTTCCGCAAACAATGAATCCCGGACGCTCATTGGCTCCTGCAAAACACGGACAGACCTCGGATTGACTGAAACTCACCGTCAATCATCTGGACGACTGACGTCTGTGTGCAGTGGAAAAAAGCTCTTCTGGCTTTTATTAAAAACAAAATCTGAATTTTCTCTGTTTCTCTACAATAATATATCCTCTGGCCTTCCAAAACACACAAAAATAATGAGCACAAGGTCGAGTGCTCCCATCTTAAACCTGACAAATTAGCATTAACGCTCAATTAAGATTTATATATTGTTTAAAATATATTTGTATTTGGTCTGGAGTTTTGTGAACGTGTCCCTGTAACCTTATGTGACCATTATGTATCCTATCATTTGTGTTTTGCTTGTCAGTATTCATTATTTTGACTTTTTCAGAGCTTTCAGCCACATCAGTGGGTGCAGTTTGCTTTGCTATTATTTCAAATCATTTGGGGATTTTTAAAACAAACATCCACTGAAGTAAAGAGTTCTGTTTTTCTGTCTTTTCATGTTTTGTTTGGTCGGACTTGATGACATGAAACAGCGCAGCTCTCTCTAGCTTTCCTGTGGTGTTCAACAGGGAAGTTTTTTATGTTAATGTTGGCAGCTGCATCATGGGAGGTTTGTCTTGGTGAGCAGACAGAAAAACAGGATGGGCAGAAATATTGTTTTTGACTGTCGTTTTCATTTTCCCTCAGAAAGGAAAGTAAGTGAGTAATGAGAGTGATACATAGTGTGTGGGGGGTTCACTGCAGTCTGTTGTTAGTATGTTTTGCACTACTCTTCCAGCTATAGGTGTTGTATCAGTATATGAGTCATTCTGAGTCATTAAGATGTTTTTACGATGTACTTACTGTAACTACAAAATGAATAAGCATTCAGCACTCGGCTAAAGCAGAGATGATCCAGCAGTTCAGGCCATGATGTCAGGAATCAAACAACAGTCCTGGATTATGAAATATCCAAACTCTGTTACCCATTAGATCTACAGTCCTTCCAGAGTGCAGAAGGCCAACCACCCCTATTATTAAATGTAATCCTTATTTTTTATTTTCTTGTTTGTGTCCCGATAAAACGAATCATGAGCAATAAAAAACCTGGAGGGACTTAAGCTGCTTAACTTCTATGTTACCCACTTTAGAAACACATAAACTCTCTCTCTTCTGGCTAAAGTCCCGAGATATTTTTAATGAGATCCCGGATTTTACACACAATCCTACTTAATCAGGGCACCACTCAGAAAGGATGTAGCTTAGAGATTGTGCTGCAGAATAATTGTTCCCACATTGCAGCAGCATCTCGATCAGACTAACCTTAATTTATCACTTTGAATGCATCTTTAAATTGGACGAATGCCTCACTGCAGGCCAGAAACAACAGCTCCAGGGGGTGCTGACAGACCAGGGCCAAGATCAGGGATTATTCTCCCATGCTTGAGTGCATGATAAATGGGATCAAGAGAGAATCTTGCCTAACTGTAACAGCACACACACCTGCTAAACAGAATAGTTAGGAGACAGACTGTGTGTACTCTTATGGAAATAGCTAACAAATACATTGTTAAATGTTTGTGTTACTGTCTTAAAACTCAGTGGGAGTCCAGAGAAACCATCCATGTATCTTTGCAGGAGTTTTCTATGAAGCAAACCAGATATTAATTTCTGACTAATAGAGATTGATAGTTGCAGAATGATTAATTAGAAGATATTCAGGAGTTTCACTCTTAGAGATTTAGGTTAAGGTTATGAGTCCCTGTGGGTCTGTTCTGACTGGGGCTGTGAAGTTTGTCCAATTCCTCGCACTGCAGGTCCACATGGATCTCAGATAAACTTTTGCAATAGAGATTACTCTGCATTCACTCTCACAACTGTTCTCACAATCAATCACTGCCGCCTGTTTACATCCTTTCCTCCACCAAATCAACACCACATGGTGATGTTGCATTTTCAAATGCGCGCACAAGTTGAGTTACTGTATCTGGAGGTCAGGACTGCAGCTGTTTCAATCTGATCAGACTGCACTTGATTTTGTTTGGACAGAAATGTCAGACATCAAAGAGACGGGAAGTGTGTGAGTGTGTCTGGAGGTATGGGCATGATTGGATTTCCTTCATTCATTTAGTTTTCCCTTTGGTAATCGCGCGTTTGACCTTTTGAGAGAGTTTGTGGTGGTTTTAATTTATCTTGTGCAGGTACACATCAGACACACACAGATTGGAGACACACAGCATGTTGACAGCTAAGGATGGCTACATGTTGACAGGGGCCACAGCAGGGCCTAAGGATGGAAATATCAGTCTTTCTTTCATTTCAATACTTTGTCACGGGCAAGAAATCTCCAACAACTGGCCATACTGCCATTACATTTCCCCTTGAGTAAGACTCTAGTCCATGGAGTCTGGAAAACTGAAAGCCAGTTGCCATGGTCACAGGGACGAAACATTAGTTTGATATACTACTACAGATTGAATAAATGTCTTAGGAGCAGTGTGAGGAGCTGCATAAGAAATGCTAGATATGAAAGTCAGTTGTAAAAGAACTATTCAGATCCTTTACTTAAGTTAAAAAAAATTATAAATAAAACACCACTGAGAAAATACTCACTACAAATTCCTGCTGTTAATAGCAAAAGTTACTTAAAGTATCAAAAGTCAATATAGTGAAGAAGAATTATAAAATTGCATTAAATGGAAATACTTAAGTAAATACAAGTACCTCAAATTAGATTTTTTATTCTTCCCTTTCTAGAAAGAAATATATTTACCGCAGAGTTCACCAGTTTCATTTCCTTAGAGAATGTCAGTGTTACCATCTGCTGCTGTTGTGTAAATGCAGTGCTGGATTAACAAAAAAGCTCACGCATGGCTGGATATCAGTGTCACACCACAATAATCACTGTGGTACAGCTGTTGTTTACAGTGCTGCTTCTTGAAATCTAAAGACTGACTGACTGCTGGTTTGCGTCACTAACAGACATGTCACCGTATACCTTTTAAATCCCAGGTGTAAAAATCGAACTAAATAGCTGGAAAGAAAACCTGCACAGTGCAAACACTGTTGTACACTGTGTCAATACTACCATCTTGTGGTCAATGAGGAAAAACTGCTCATCTTAACTTCATCTTTAGCACCAGCATACAGGGTACAATAGAACTTTTGCCTTGGTTACTGTCTCATATGTTAGTGCGTTTGTGTGTTTGTGCGCAGCTTTCTTGAACAATGGTAGTGGGCAATTAAAACATTTTGCAATGTCTGTGTATTCAACTTTTTTGGTAGTGTGAGGTCAAAGAAAGAAGGGTGCTTTAGCCAGGGGCGGATCTAGAGAAATATTCAAGGGGTGGCCGGAGGGTGGCATGGAGACTTTAAGGGATGGCAGATATATGCTGATTTGATCGCAAACAATCTCATATATCAATAATTGTTTGGAAAATCACCCAAATGAAGATATTTGAACTTGAAACGTTACATTATTGTTGCATATATATAAGTAAGGCGTTGAATAGAAACATTTAGAGGTAGTTTGGCATTAGAACTCAATAAATTGTATTATTTTCAAAATTTTAATAAATATATTTTTTCACTAAACTTTTACTTAATCTAAAATGTGTCTATAACAGATCATTAAATTATATGTGTTAATTTCCCCTTTTTCCATTTTCCAATCAGAGATGTTGACATAACTACTACTATCCCACATCCCTAGGAAAATATATTTAAAGCGGATATAATCGATATTTTAATAATAACAATATAAAATGACAGCTAAATCTGCAGCTCTTTTCCACAGCGAGTTTCAGTTCATTGTTTAGCTCCAAGAAAATGGAGAAACACTGGATATAATATAACTTGTGATCAAAACATATAGCCTATTGCAAGGCTGTTTTTAGGCACAGGTGAGCTAGGATGTGGCTTAGGACACCACCAGCTGTAGGGGCACCAAAGAGGAGGGAGATTTCTTTGTCATTTATTTCAGACATCCAAATCTACTCATGCTTATGTGCACTCTTCATTGTTCATAGTTTACAGAGGGCTAAAGTTTACTGGTATACCATACATTAAAGCTGCTGGCTGTCGCTTACTTTGTGACCCACGCAGTATTTATTTAATATTTGTTCACATGGCTGCGTAAGAATCTGAGACATGGATAACCAGATTGGCTAATTGTGTGTCATCACATCCCACATATCAAAGGAGTCTGCTCTGGTTTTGGTGTGGGAGGCACAATGTAACAAAAAAATGCTCTGTATTGTTAACACACTAATCTTGATCATTTTTAGTTTCCAATACATTTTAACACAAAAAAATACAGAACGATGAAGTTGGCTGCACCAGTTAAATGGGGGATAACGGCGCACACTTTCGGACAGTCCCTCCTTGCAGCCATTCATGCTCGCTTGTGCACACGAAAAGAGATAAAAAGAAATTCTGCGTGTTGAACAATCTGAAGAGCGCTTTGTTTAAAACATACAGAGGCCTGAAAGTATTTATGTAAAAAGTGTTGTTGAACAGTGGCCAATGTGTGCTGTGTAAGTGTACATGAATCAATCATATGAACACATCAGAAATTATAATGCAAACACCATTCATTTATTGGTATAATATGTCATAATACTTTATAGGTATCATTCTGTTAAATACATTATGTACTAAGCCTGTGTGTATCTATAGGCAGGCATTTCACATTCAGGTCCAGGATCAGTGCAGTGATGACCAAACATGTCGTCTCGTCCCACTCTTTTGTTCCTAACACAGAAGTGAACGAGGAGCTGAGGAGAGGAGCAACTGCTCAATACATCAGTTTATCATCTGTAATCATTTTACTTCTACTATTTTTCTTCAGCTTTCCTCTACTCCTCCTTTATCTGTTCATCATCTCATTTTTATACTCACATCATTGAGTCATTGATCTCCCCTGTCATTTATTTTTATTTGTAGACAAATGCCTTTCCACTCACTAAGGTTGAATCTCAATGGAGGAGGGACAGAGCGGTCTCCCTGAGGTCCTCCTTAATGGCGCCAATATCAACCAGCCGGGAATGCACTGTAAGTCAGCTGTAGAGACAGGCACGCGGGTCCAATAGGGTACATCAGTGATCAGTTTAGGTCCAGATTGAGACAGTAAGGTCTAGCTTAGGCTGGTTTAGTCCAGTTTTGAATCCACCTGATTACTGTTGGGGCTACTTGCCTTCAAGGACAAATAACTAACTTAGGACCAGATGCTATTGGGCTTACAAGGTAACAAGGCAATGCAAACTAGATTATGTTTATGTAGGAAGGAATACCTGAGTCAATTAGTTCTTGAACAGTGCTGAATGCTGTTTGAATCTCACAGTAACACACTTTTGGGGCCTTCTAAAATGATTCAATTGTGCCAATAAAGCTCAAGATACTATTTGACTCATCAGAAAAACAGGATTTATTTGAAGAACTCATCTCAGGTGCTCAGCAGAATAGGATAGTTTGGAGTCTCGGGGGGTGGGATGCATTCATGCTTTCGTCGGTGAAGCAGCAGCGGTAAGGATCCTTGTGAATCATGGTGAACAATCAAAGTATGTGACTTCATACCAACGTTCTAAAGTCTCTGTGGGCAATAGGGATGTCACAAAACCAAAAATGTAGTAGTCAATCCAATACCAGGGAATTCCACAAATTTCAATACTTTATTAATAATACAGGTGAATAGCTTTGCATTGTATTAAGAACAACATGCCTGCATCCAAGCTGTTCCTCACTGTTATAACTGCTGATAATTTATTTATAGCCAAAGTAGGCTATAAAATCGCCTAACAATCTCTCTCTATAGTCTTTTTTGACTTGGCCCTTTAGGGAATTTCTCTCTTCCTTATTCATTTGTTCATATTTGTCATCTGAACATCTTTTGTGGGGATTACATTAATAAATTACCCTCATTGGCTTTTTTTAAAGGAGCTTTTGTTGCACTTGCAGTGGCATATTGAGTGTGCGGCTCTCCACCGCTATCTGTCTCACCTCCTGCACACAAAGTTCAGTGGAGTGGAGAAGAGACAGGCAGCAAAGACAGTTGCAACCGCCGTAAAAGTAAAATCACCTGTACACCTGCATTTCTTCCTATGGCATTTAATGTCAGACAAGAATATTTGTAGGCTCATATAATTCCCCTTCAGGTCTGGAAGAATTTAATTTCTGGTACCTACAGCACTGTTTAGAAACAAGTACAGTCAAGTTTTCCGAATTTTGGCATTGAGTTGGTACCGAATTATTGGTTCTTGTGAAATCCCTAGTGGTCAAAGGATGCTCGGAGTTGTCACTGTTGATGGGGAAAAGGCATCGAAGGGACTGTTGAGATACACCCTGTTAGTTTGGTGGTGTGTGCATGTTTGTGTCTGTGCACTCTTAAGTGCGCCTGAGTGCATGTGTGTTTGTGTGTGTGTGTGTGAGAATTTTTCTTCAAGAGTTCAGGTTATATAGCAGCTGATGTGTCTTTAGACAGACACGCATACATCCAGTCCAAGCTTATTCCGCTTCAAGTGTGCACAATGACATCAGACCAGGATCCGCAGTCCAGTTCAGGCTCATTTTAAACTCGTCTCATTGTAGTCAGCATAGATGAATCCAAAAAGAGTCCATTCTGTCGTCTCCCTCTGCAGACCAGAGCTTGAAAGACGCAGGTGTCTCAGAGGAAGGGGTTGTGGCTGTGTGTCTGTGTCTGGGACTGAGTGCGGGGTGCTGGTCGTGGAGAAAGGGGGAGCAGGGGCTGCGGGAGGTTTGAGGGAAGGTCCAGGAGTCCGGCAGGAGGTTGCGTGAGAGAGGAGGGGAGGATGGTTGGCTGGTGGTGCAGAGGGAGGGGCAGAGAAGGGCTGTAGGAGAGCATGTGCGGGGGTAGTGGGGATGTAGAGGATGGCCGCATTTGGTTGAGGGTGAGGCGAGGCTGGTCGCAGTGGAAGGGGTTGGTGGGAGACGGAGCACTCAGACCTGGGAAGACAGAATTGGGTTGAAAACCTTTTAATAATCTCATAATCATGTTTCTGTGAGTACAGAATGTCAGAACACTTGTTTCTTACCTGAGAGGAAGGGGTTGTTGTGCGTCTTGCTAGGGGGGTTGGAGGGTATCAGTGCATCTAAATTGACCAGCGAGGCCCCTGTAGGTCCCAGGAAGGCCTCTGGGGTTCGACACACACGAGTAGGCGGGGCACTGAGCAGGGGTGCTAGCCGGGACAGATCAAACATCTCTGGGCTTGCCGACTCCCGTCCGTTTACCTGGGGTTTCACCGGAGGGTCAGTCCCAAACGGATCTGGCTTGGAATCCGCTTCAGCAAATGGGTCAGAGTCTGCTTTAATGCCAAACAGCTCTACATCTGAATCAGGACAAGAAGAATAGTTATCGAGGGGATATGACGCAATATGATGTATGCTGCAAGTGTCTTGTCCACAATGACTTAGCTAACTCCAGAACGGCTTCATTGCCCTTTGTCTTAGATTCTTAAAGTCTCTGATGGGGGCTGGTGGTGCAGAGCGCTGTCTAATATCCAAATCTGAAATCTGGTGCCTGTTAAGGCTTTAGCCTACAGTATGGTTCACATCATTTTATATCATTTAGCGACCCCTCATGCTCCACAAGAAAGATATTAATTTGTTATGATTCTTTATTGATTTATTAAAGTTATTTCTTGAATTTGTCCCCCGCCTGTATGAGATAATTGGTAACAAGTGGATCCACTACAAGGACCCCTCCCTCTACATTACAATGCAATCCATTACAATAGTTGTAAACTGTACTGTTTTGTATATATACAATGAGTTATCTTGTCAATCATGTTGGAACAATATATTATTCTTTCCAGCTCTCAATGCATGAGACTTATTGCTTCTGTAAGATGTACAGTAAAGAATACTTCTGCCTGTCCTGCACTAACAATACCTGTGGGACTAGCAGGTTGAGGGGAGGACACTTGAGGAACCTCATCTTGAGGCTTCTCCTCTTCCTGTGCAGCAAACGGATCCTCCCCATCACCACCTGCATGTCAAATTGAAAACAGGACAATCTTACATTGACAACTACAATGTATATGTATATTGATGAGGCTGGTGTTTCTGAAAGGTACCTCCGTCTGTTGGGCTGTCCCACGAGTGGTTGACAGGACTGGAGGAGACAGGTGCTGCTTCCCAGGGGTCTGTGTGTGAGTTGGCGCATGGAGCCCAAGGATTGGATGTGACGGAGGATGAGGGAGGGGCCGCCCAAGGGCTACCAATCACAGGAGTGCTGCAGTGGACCGCTGTGAAGAGAGACGTGTGAAGCATTAAAGACACAAAAACTCCTAGAATCTGAGAAAACACTGAGATGGTACAGTAGGTATAGAACCATATTGGTCTTTGTGTGTTTGTGATGAGCCACCCACCTACAGAGTCCCAGGGGTTAGAGGTGATGTCACCGGTCGGTTGGGTAGAGTTCCAAGGGTCACTAGGCGGAGGTGGGGCCTCCGATGAGGGGCCAAATATGTCCACCAGGTCCAGCATGGCTGACTACAGAGGGAGCAAACAACCTTTCTGTAAATCTGTGCCAAATGTTTTCAACATTGTGTAATTGGATGGGGTTTTGAACCATGGAAGACTCTTAATAAGAAAACCTATCCAACCCTGTTGAGATCTGTGGAGGAGAGTATGAGGAATGATACACTTACTGTGATTATATGTGACAGTTACTTTGTAACACTATTTACGCACTCAGCTTGACAGAGCTGAGTTAACTGAAGTAGTTGACACAGAATTAGTGGTGTAAAGAGAAAGCTCTGCTGAAATGTTTCCCTGATGTTTTAAACCCTATCACTGTACAAGATTATTATAGTTAACCAACACTCAACTAAAAACTAAAAACTAACTGTGAAGAAACATTTTAGTTAACTAAAAAATAGAAACTAGACTGGAAAAAAATAAAACAAACTTAAATGACATTGTGTATTCACCTGGAAAAAGTATGCACAACTGCTTATATTTGACTGCCACTCTGCTGAAAACACACATTTATAACAGCAGCACCATTTTTATGTCTTTGTGAGTTCTATAATTATTCACTGGTCCGTTATTGTAGAGTCTGATTGATATAAATCAGAAAGAAAAACTGGATGTTGCTAACTGTATGTAAAAATCAACACGATATTTAGACAGAGGCAGTTATTCTGTATATTCAATTCAATTCAATTCATAACAGCATTCCATTTAACAGCTACATATCACCACAAACCCTTTGCTCCTAAAACGTACTTTCACTCATATTCAGAAAATCAGTTTAACATCAACTGACCCCATGTAAAATTATGGCATGTATATGGCATAATTTTATTATTATGGCAATAATAATAACAATAATAATAATACATTTAATTTATAGAGCGCTTTTCAAGAAACTCAAAGACACTTTACATAAGTTAAAAAGGAAAAGAAAAAGGTAATAAAAATACAGGTATTACTTTGAAATTTCAAATATGTTCATATTAGTTGTTTACATGTTAAACCTGAAAGTTTGTCTGAAATGTTCATTTTACTGTAAATAATCTGTATATTTTACTCAATATTTCCTTCAGTGTTAGTAGTTTTAAGTCACCTTCACTGAAAAAATTTGTTATGGGGGGGGGATGGTGTGCAGAGTTTGTTTTCATGTTCATCATGTTCTCTGGTCTCACCTTAATTCTGACTTATCACATGTACATACCAACATGATTTTGAAACATCACACCTTCAGTTTGGAGGCAAATCAGGGTCCAGTATGCAACTTAAACAAAGGTTGATGTGGAACCTTGAAGCCTCCCATGCACATACACTAACAAGCTTGTACCCAGCAATTAAACTTTTGAAACAAAGAATGTTTCCTTAATCATAGTTTCAGTATTTTTCAATGATTATGTAGTAGTAGTAGTAACAACACAAAGACTGTAATTCAAAAATGTATTTTATTCTTTTACTTTCGTGTGTTAAACCATGTCTGAAGGGGATCTTTAAGAATCTTGCTACACACTTTTTAAATTGCACTAAATAAAAGCATCAGATAAAAGGCCAGAAAATTAAATGTTATTTTTGAACGTGTGATGATCCTACAAGACATGATGATCTGTGACGCACATTTGACCTTGTGAATATGTCAGGAGTTACCTCAGAGAACCATTGAGAGCCTCTGGTCTATATTTTCATGCTTTTTTCTACAGAGCACCTGAAAGCGTCAGGAGTTCTGTGATAAGCAACATAATATAACCAATTACAAGCCATGGGGACCTTTACATAAGACAGCTGGTGACTGATAGGCTCTTTGACAGGCCAATGAGTAAAAGAGCTGGTGTGCTACAAGATAAGGAGTATGCTTTCAGGGAAATGGCATGCTGAGTTCAAGGTTAGACAAGACAAAGTCATTATCATTCAGCAGGCACCTCTTTCTCCTCTCTCTCAGCTCTCTAGCATTTCTCTCGCAAACCTCTCATTATGCTGATCCATGTCTTTTTGTCTGTTTCCCTCCCTAGCCCACAGTCCGCACTATAAACTCCACTTCATTCTCTAAATGTCTGCCAGCAACCACATACAAATGCACCCGCCCACCTCTCCATGCACCCACACACATACACACACACACGTTTTTAAACTCACCTCCTGAGTCCCTGACTGGCTCTCTCTCCTGCTCTCATCCAGGGCCTTCTGTAACAGAGACTCGTCTCCTTGACGACAGCACTGCTCCTGCAGGGGCGGCATCGTGACATCATCAACATTATCGCAAAGGCAATGAGCACGGACGCACGTACAAGCACACTCAAATACACACCAGGGTAAGTGAAACAGTCTTTGGTTTTGGCCCAGCGAAATGAAGGCGGTTCCTTTTTTGTGCAGTTGAAATATTTAGTTGACAAATGCAGAGGCTGGTTCAAGCAGAGAAAAAGGATGCAGATCGTGTTTTATATGTCGAAATTTAAACATTTAAACCAAATATGAACAGATTGAGAGCCATTGGGAGATACTGCAGAGATCCTAGAAAAGAGTGAGCTGGATGAGCACGGAAAAAGTTGGGAAGAAAGTCATTACATGGCCACAGAGAAGCATTTTAAGATGTAAGAGCCATATCATCAAATGCACAGAAAGAAACTAGAGGGTTAATAAATGTGGACACTTAATGGTAAGGAGTGAGGTCTGTTTTGTGTTTTTGTGTGTGTGTATGTGTACCTGCTCATGTTCCTTTTGGCTGAGGCTTAAGGCAATCTGTAGTTGTGTGTCTTCAGCCATCTCTATGGTAACAGGGGAAGGAAGGGCTGGCTAGATGAAGGTGGGCGAATGTTCATATTTTTTGTAACAAAATTTTCATTACTGGAATCATCAAGAGGCAATGAGACATGTGTGGCTCGAGTACAGGGGAAGGATGGTATGCTGTAACACCAGAGGAGATTATATATTATCATAGTGTGTGTGTGTGTTGTGTTACCTTCTGACTCTCCTCCCTGCTCATGGCTAAGGCCAGCTGGAGCTGCAGCTCCTCCTCGCCACTGGTCTGTGGTCGAGCTTGCTCCAGGTCTGAGGCGGCACGAGGAGACGAGGACGAGGCTGCAGAGGGAACAAGTGAGGGAGTTTGAGGGAGGACGCAATGGCGGTGTGTCAGGAGAAATGGTCAGATTGACGTGAAGATACATGAGACATGGAGCACAGGAGTTGTGGGGCTGATTTGAATATTTTCAGGCCTACGCTGCAGTATTGATAATCCATGTGGGGGATTGTTTAAAGTGCTGGGCTACAGCACAAAATAGTTTTCACAAGGGATCAGTCCGAATACAAGTGTGTATTTTTAACGCCTCATCCATTTATTCACAGATTGCCAACACATAAAATAAGATGTTCAGTGTTCCATGTAAAATAATCCATAAATTTATAATAACAATGTATCAATGACAATGTAAAAGCAATGGTGATCAAAGGCATGTAGTGTAATGAGTTATTAGCCATTTTTACATATGGCCCCGGTCTGCAACTTTACTTGTTTTGGGGTCACTCTAACCACTCTCATAGTGTCGTTGTCAGCAGGCAGCTGTTTCTCCAGTGAATAAGGCTCCTAAAAAAACCTCCCAGGGAAGAGAGCCGTGATGCTGCCTCTTTAATGGAGGTGGAGATGTTATAACCAGAGGGCACATTTGCCCAAGCAAATGGGTTTCCATCCCTTAAAGTCTTTAGTGTCTTTGCAAAAACTACAAATAAATACAGTTTGAGAACCACTATCACATCGATAGCATTTCTCACTTTTGGTGTCGCTTTGCCCAAAAGTTTTGTTTTTGAGTGTAGAAGGGGGCCCTCCATTGTTGCCACTTGTGGCGTGTAGTGGAAAAAAACCACACCCTATGACATCGTTCAGAAGGGCAGTAAAAGGACCCATGTAATGGCTACACTGTTTGCCAACAAGTTTCGCCACTCAAAACTTTACAAGGTGACGATATGCTAATGTTGTTTTCTGCAAGCTTGTTTTCTTCCTGCCTCTAAGCGGCCAATAAAATCTGTTTTAAAATACCCACAAATACTACACAGGTTAAAGGAGGATGGAGAGGCCTCTGGAAGCTGCGTCGAACCCCTCCCCATACAAGCCACAGCCATGCTGGGCTGGGCTTGTTCGCCTGCTGGGTGGGTAATGAAGGGTATACTCCATTACACCCCCCCACCCCTCCCACCCCTTCCTCAGTCGCGCTCCTCCAAGGCCATTCGCCTCCTTGGTCTTTTAGCGGTCGAACTCCGTCTCCTTGGCCGAGCCGTTCCTCGGTTCCCGGGACGGAGCACACAACCAGTTGGCGTGCTTTTTTCTTCACAGTTGGCCACACCCCTGGTCTCTGCCGTCACGGTCCACAATATTGTGAAGTAACGTAGTGGCTATGAAGCCCCACAAAAACAAATTCCATGATATTTCAGGAGATCAACGTGGACTTAAAGAACTAATGTAGAAGGTAGGTGAAAAGTTATGGTTAGAAGAAAACCCTCAATAATCTGAGTAATGAAATTACAGGAAAATTGATCTACGAAATAATATTTTAACTTGACTGTCTAGACAAATGTTTGAATGTAAGTCCTTGCATGTTGTGGTGATTTTTAAAAAATTGTATCGTATTGTATGATCCGCTGATTATTACTGTATTGTTTTTAAATGTGGACCCCGGAACAGTAAGTGGTTGCCAAGGGTTAACAACTTAACTAGCTCTATTGCTGGAGGTGGTCAGATCACTTCTGAGATTTCCTCCTTCCTTGTTGTAGTCCAAGTACATCGTGAATAGTGAACGCATTCTCAACGGCACTGTTGAGGCACCTCCTCTCTTGACCCTGCTCTTCAGCCAAGGTAAGTCCAACAGAAGTCAGGGCCTGGAGAACAAATAGGCTGAGTTACCCGCCGCAGATAACTACAGAAATACTATTACCTTAACATCCGCTACTCATAATACATTTTAGTTGTAAAATTATTTGGTTAAAACCAGATAACTACATCGCGTATGATGTACAATGATGATAGGAGATGAGCTAAAGGTGGAGAGAATGGTGTAAACACAATGTCTTATCAGCCACTGCACTGTGGTGAGGCTGTACTTAAGCTAAATGCTAACATGCCCATTAGCAATAAACACAAATACAACTGAGGAAGAGTCATTTGGAGATATTTAGTCATTAACCTGGAGAAAAGTAATTTTGACCAGATGATGCTGCTAGATGAAATGTCAAGAGACTTTAAAAATGTTTTTTGGGGGACTCAGCCTTGGTACATGGGGTGCCAGCTATAAAAGACACCCCTATGATACATCTTTTAGGGACCATTAATTGTATTCATTAATTATGTACCAAATTTCACTACAAATAATCAAATAGTTGTTGAGATTTATCAATAAAGAACTACAAAGTCATTAGGATTCCTCCTCTGGGGACCACAAATGTCTGCACATTTCCTGGAAATCCATTCACAAACAGTTGTCAACAAGAACCCTAAAAACAGACATTGGTATCAGACAAATCTTTACACAAACATATGAACAAAGCTCGAAGAGAAGAGTCAGAAGAAGAGGCAGCAGCAGACGGAGGTGGAAAGTGTGGAGGTGAAGTATGTATGCAGACGGAGAGAAGAAAGTGGAATGAAATATGAAAAAGCGGGAAAGGTGAAGGGACGGAAGTGGTGGTGAGTGGCCAGGGGTCAGAGTCGCAGGGTCACCTTGTAGACGTGTCTCCAGTTCTTGCCGCTGTCGTTGAGGCGTTTCCACACCATGCCCATGACCTCAGCAAACGCCACCACGTTGAAGGTCAAGTCAGCGATCTCTGACATGAGAGACGAGGACGGGCCCCATGGGTCATTCGAGGTGGCCTCACGGACCTACACATCACCAGCAGAGCAACAATGTTGTCCATTCGTTCACATATTTACATTTCATGCACACAATATTCTTTTGTATATTCATCCGGTATTATAGAAAAGTGAGAGATTACAAGTGTCAAAGCACTTCCTTTAATAACACAAAAGTTCCAAGTCAAGAAGAGGCAGGAGAGACTTTTGTTCTGTGTTTTCATCTGATCAAATTCAACATCAGTTTTAATTTGAAGGAGTTCTAAAAGCTACTGCACATCAATGACAGTTGAGGAGAGTGCAGTTCATTTTATAATACCTTGATCTCCGCTTCTGAATAGTTGTGCACAATATTCTTCACCTGCCGGCGCAGGGCTGAGGTTGTCATGGTGACAGATGATGGAGGATGTGGAGGGATAGAAAGTGGAAAACAAACACTCAACAGGTGATAAGAGGGGTTAAAAAAGGGGGGGGAACGTGGACTGGAGGAGGAGAGGAGAGGAGCGGTAGCTATGGCATTGAAGGCTCCTTTTCTCTGTCAGGAGTTATAGGACGCCCCTGTGAGGAAGAAATAAAGACAATATGACTGAAATGTTGCAATCTTTTAAGGTTGATCTAATTATCCTTTAATGCCTAAACTAGATTGGGGCATTTCTGAGTATCCATTCTGAACCTCAGTAATATCTGTAATGCAATGCTTTGTAATGCTAAGCATAATGTTGCTATGCATTCAGTGAATGATGCTGGGCTACAATTTAAGCCCCGTTTTTTACTCTATATTCGTTTACATTTTGGAAAACCGGCACCATTAAAAGTCAAATCAAAAATAAATATAAAAACATATGCCAACAAATTTGACTAATAGTAACACTATAAACTAATATAAAATACTCAAGTATTCAAAGAGATATTTCTCAAATGTTCTATCTATTGTAAGTGAACAATTTATGTGCCGTGGTGTTTTGTTCTGTTATAAAATCATAACTGTTTTTAAGAAGGGGACGCAGTTAATAGGACTGTATAACTAGACCGGTATAGGAATGTCATTGTTTTTGCAGTATTTGCACATAAACCGAAAGTCTTGAACAAGTCAAAATAGTCACCGTGGTCACAGTGGTGCTGAATGAAGATTTAAGGGACCACCAATGTCATGCTGAGGAGAACATGAACCACAATGCAATCCACCGGTCGCTAGCATGGCTCATAACAATGAGTCAAGGTTAAGGCGGCACTCGTTGATTTACTTCCTGGCTAATCACGTCAATACGAAAACACTGAGCAGCATATACAGACTGACGATAGTGACTGAACGAGTGGCTCATAATTGCTGCCCACTCAGGAAGTAGGTCATACAAAAGCTCTGGCACTCAGGTGTCTGATGAAGCTTCTTGGTAGCTTATTTTATTCAGGCCAGCGCGCACACACACACACACGCACACACACACGCATGCACACACACACACACAACCTAAATTCATATTTCAGAGAGGACACGTGGGAATTGATGATTAAGGATTGCTGTGATACATTTCCCTTTGCCTAAGCCGTCACAAACACAGAACGTATAAAGCACTAACCCAAAGCTGAACTAGGGTGACCTCACTAAACTAAACCTCCTCTCATCAGTCATTGGCTCACTCAGTTGTTAGCTTGTTAAAGATAGGGATACGTTTCAAATCAAATACCCATCTGATCATCCTTCTTTTAGTTACAGTTTGAATGAATGGGTAAAGCAGAAGTGTTCTTTTTTTTAAATTTGTCTTTTTTTGAAGAGAGTTTTGTCTGTTAGCTTCACATATTTTAATAATTTGTTCCTGTGTTTCTGATCATTTTCTGAACAAAAAAATTAATATGTATGAATTACAGTAGGAATTATAATGCATTTCTTTCAGTTAAGGTCTATTGTGTGCATTAAAATACAAGCGTTCATTTACTTTAGTTTTATTTCTCAAGACTAAACCATTCTGAAACAATCAAGTGTCATGTTTGCTGCAGTCTCGGCAATATACTGTCCCAAACTATATATGGGCTAATATTAGGAACTCATATCATATGTCTGTCAATACTGTATGTCTGCCAGTAAGTACAAATGTTGCTCAGAATAAATGAAATATAGAGTTTCCTTATCATAAATGTGTGATATATTTTGTGTTTCATGTAAAGAAACAGATTTAATCAGATGTTTTAAACTTTCAAACATCAATATCAGTATTGGCCTTAAGAAAATCCTGCATTGGTCAGGCTTTGATATCTACCAGAAAGGATACAAAAATCTCTCTATTTGGGTTGAATACTGTGATGAAACTAATTTTTATAACAAATTCATAGACAATACAATAACATACACTTAATGGAATACCAATCAATTTTCCATGAAGTGTGCAGTATATTTTTCCTTCCTTCTAACTTACAGTATGTTAAATATTTCAGGTGTCTTTTTCAGGTTTACCACAATTTAAAAATGCTGCTGCAGCTAAAATTTGTATTTTGTTTGTCTTCCCAAGGAAAAAAAGCTACTCTATTCAAGGGCTTATGGCCCACTGACCTATGGGTCCTTGAGCTTGTGCCTGATAAGCCCATTCAGTAATCCATCCATGCATGTGGCTCTGAATAGTAGAACATTATTACCAGACTGCTACTGCGACAATCACTGCTAACAATAATAAATATAATTAACAATTACTAACTTTGTTAAAGACTCTCTTTTGATTGTCATTATCTAGTGCTGCTCCATGTCAGCTCACATCACAGGATGCCTCATCCTGCCGAAAAGCAAACATCAGCAGAAGCACAGAGCAACTGAGATGCACACAGCAGGGACACGGGCGGAACACTCTGAGGGGAGGTCGGGTCTGAGAGTGTTTGTGCAAGAGAGACAGAGAGGGAGAGAGACAATGAAGGGCATAAAGAAGAAAGTAAAGCTCAGCAACTTCAACCGGTATCACCTTTCTGCATAATCATCTTCAGCTTTATGTTCGGACATAGACACACGCCAAACACACACACACGCTTAATGGCTGGTGCTGTGAGGTGTTATTGCTCTTTTTGTCCATTTTCAAAAGACAACGGATAATTCACATTGTGGGCGTAAAATGAACTTTCTCCATGTGCATGACAACTCTAAAAATAAACTGAGGGGACAAGTGGAAGGAATTATAGGAGATGGAAGCGGGTGAAAGAGTGTGTGATGTCAATTTCTAAATACACCTACCCGTGTAACAAAGGAATACATTTCATATAGAAGTTCAATGTTGTGACAGCGCATCATATTTTATAAGATGTCATGTTTTAGGTAAAAGTAACTATTCCTAACTGATAATGAAGTAAAAAGTGTAATATTTTCCCCTGAAAAGTGGAGTACAAGTATCTCAAAGTTCTACTTAAGTACAATACTTAGTTACTTTCCACCATTGCTATGGCTCCTTACTGATCTTATCCGGGCACATTGTTTGCATGTGCATGTGTTGCATCTATAGCATCTGTTCAGTTTGCAGTAAACAATGACACAAATAGCACAAGACAATTTAAATCAATAAGATGTTTTAGGCACCCTGGCCTTTAAATATACTGTATATCTGATGTATTTCTGGACCTGGGCTCTTGTTTATTTTAGGACAAACAAAACTACAAACTCCAGTGAGCACGTGATCGATCAGTCAAATTTAACTTGTCAATTTACCTACAAGTTGAGTTGCATTTTTTGCCACTTGGCTGCCTAATTAAAAGAATTTTTGGCACTTTTTAACAGTCACATATTAAGATCCATGAACCTAACATTGTGAATGCTTTCATTTTATATTGTAATAAACACTATTTACTATGTTTCTTGTAGCTGTGTTTAAAAGTGTTGGACTTCGTGCTCATATCAAATCAACATTATTTACCGTTTACTCCTCTTTGTCATCATTTGAGTTGTTATTAAAGATACAGATATTAGCAATATTTTTAGTAGGATTTCTTAAATTAATTCAGCTGAACTGCCCCATCTTGCCACAAACGTCTGACTGAAAAGACTGGACACGGTGCATGTAAATAGCAATATGTAGTCTTGTGATATTAATTGATCCTGAAGGGAGGTAATTAATATAATACTGTTTGTTACTAATAGCAACCACAGTGATATTTTTAAATACACCTGTATAATTTCAGCTGTAATATCTGTAATGTAAAGCTTTGGACTTGTAAACTCACATTAATATCTTTAACTGTAATGTCAACAACCGTAGAAGCTGTTATATTAACACGTTTATCACAGTATCACTATAATATATCAGTATATTTACTGTCAATGATCAATACTCGGCAGTACGAGTGTGACCAGTGGCTGAAAGGCGGTTACCATGACGACGACGCGTTTGATTGGCCGAGACGACAAGAGTCCCGCCCCTTTAGCGCATCCTCGCCTAATGGAGCTTTCTGATTGGAGGATACTCAGCTCAGTTTAACATACCCGACATGCACTGCGGCAAACAAATATCGTTTTGTTTACACCGATAAAGTTGAATTTTTAGGAGTTTGAGATGATATTTGTGACAACATACACTGTTATATACAAAGTCTTTGTTGCTATTGTTTTTATTTTGTTATTCGTGTATAGTAAATACATCATCCCACCATGGCAGTAGGGTATGTATAGTGTACTCATAACGTCTGTCTGCCCCTCAGACTAATCAGGAACTAAATGCTCTTTAGATATTTGTCTAGTAGGTTTCTCTTAAAGAGAAGCCCCCCCAATGTTGTGAAAAATAAAATTCTAATATTAAAATCTTCTCTACCTGGTCATTATTAGGTCTTTCTGTAGAGTAGTTATATTCTCTGATAGACTGGCCATGTTGTGTTAACTGATGAATGTTATACACTGACACATCTACAAAGTACAATAATACTGAAGTTCAACATGTACAGTTTAGTTTTTAGTCAAAGCTGCTAAAATATTTGCAGACCATTTTACTTGCATATTACAT